TGACGGCCAGGGAAGGCTCCCGGGAAGTCGGCAGCACTCCCGAGGCCGAGGTTTACATCAGGACTTTCAAGGAGCAGATGCACCTGGAGCTGGAGCTGCCCAGGCTGTCCGGGAACAGACCCACGTCTCCAAAGATTTCTCCTCGCAGCTCGCCCAGGAACTCTCCCTGCTTCTTCAGAAAGTTGCTGGTGAATAAAAGCATCCGGCAGCGCCGTCGCTTCACGGTGGCACACACATGGTAAGCTCAGCCGGCTTTAAACCGCGTTTAAAGTGCCTTTAAAAGCAGTGGAGCTGTGCTTGGAGCTGGGGGGAAGGAGCGTGGCTCGCTCCTGGCTGGTGCCGGCGGTGAATGGAGCAGAAAAGGCGGGCAGGGGGTTTAGGATGCAGGGCCGGGTTCAGGCTCTCCGGGAGAAACGCGGCCCTTTATTGCCGGGAACAAAGGCAGCAGCCGGCAACTCGTGTGGGAGAGCCCGGGGATTCACTGCAGGAGCTGTGAATTTATTTGGTAGCCCGTTGGTTCATTTCAGAAGCCGTGCATTCATTTCAGAACTCAGGAATTCGTGACAGAGCCCAGAAATTCATCTCAGAGCCCATGAATTCATTTCAGAACCCAGGAATTCATCTCAGAGCCCATGAATTTGTTTCAGAACCCAGGAATTCATATCAGAGTCCATGAATTCGTTTCAGGACCTGTGAATTCGTTTCAGGACCCATGAATTCGTTTCAGGACCTGTGAATTCATTTCAGGACCCAGGAATTCATTTCACAGTCCATTAATTCATTTCAGGACCCATGAATTCATTTCAGAGCTCATGAATTCATCTCAGAACCCATGAATTCATATCAGGACCCAGGAATTCATTCCAGGACTCATTTCAGAGCCCATGAATTCATCTCAGGACCCGTGAATTCATCTCAGAGCCTTCAGGACACTTTTTTTTTTTCACTCTCTCAGCTCAGGGTGATTCAAGCAGGGCACTCTCGGTGTTAGATCTTGGAAAAGGCTTTGAGACAGTTTTTACTGGCTGCAAATCTCCCTCTTTTCTGCTTTTTTTTCCCCCCAAGGGAATCCTGGCTGAGAGGCTTCTTTTCCCTCCCCACAAATCCCAAACATTTGCTTTGGGTGCCATTGGAGCCTCTGAGGGTCACTTACCCTGCTTAAACCATAAACAGCCAGCAAAAGGGAAAATCCAGGAAAATCCAGGAGGATCTCACTTGTTCATTCCCTAAATTTCCTCTGGATGTGCCTTGTAAGATCCATCTTTCAAATCCCAAAATATGCACCAGTTGAATGTGGGAATTGAATCAGAAAACTTTGAGTAATGTGAATTTTAAAATCCCTCCTCACACAGCCATCTATCCTTTACTTTCCCATTCCTTTAAAATTCTGGAATCCTGCAGATTTCCTCCTTCCTGCAGATTTCCTCCTTTTTGTTGTTGTTGTTTTGGTTTTTTTGGGGTTTTTTTTCTTTGGTTTGTTGTTGTTGTTTTTAATTCTAATCTAAGCAGTGATAACAACCTTAAGCTGGTTATGAGCTGTAGCAGTTCCAGAGTGTTCTTGGGGATTTTAATTGCTTGGAATCACTGGTGTTTGGGGTTATTCACATTAATTCCCTGCAACATCTGCCAGGGAACTCATCTGATCCCAGCAGCCTATCCAGAGAATTGAGGGAAACATGGTCCAGCTGGGAATTATGGGAGCAGCATGGGACCACACTCAGCATCTGTGTTGTTTGGTGGGAAAAAAAAAAAAAAAAAATTCCAATATTTCATTTGGAGATGGAACTTGGATCAACTTGTAAAGGAGGTGGGATCCATCTGACTGGGAAAAAAAAAAGGGGAAATTTCAACTCAGTTTTTAGAAGTTTTTAATATCAGGTGATTTGGAATTGGTTTAAGCTTGGATAAGAAAGAAAGAAATGTAGAAATTAAGAAAATCTTAATCTTAAAAGGTTCTGGGAATGTTTGAGTGTGAGCACACCCTCAACACAAACCACACCAAACCCAGCTTCAATTAAATTTCAATATTTAAACGAAATATTTCCCTGTGCTGTGTGTGCAGGGTGTTCCCTGTCAGCCCCTGCATGAATCCCTGGAATTTTGGAATTTTGGGATTTTGGGATTGGGGTGCAGGGCATGGAGCAGCCTCACCTGTACCCATCCAAATACCAGGTGCCCTTAGAAAGGAGAGAATTACCTGGGGAATAAATGGGCAGGGAATGAATCCAGGCTGGATTTTATGGGATCTGGAGGAACTTCCTCACTCTGGGGGTGGAAAATCAGCATTTTCACCACGTTGATGCCATTGTTTGAGGAATCTTCTGCTTTTTTTTTCTTATTTCCAGTTTTTTGCTTGCCCTCATTCCTCTTTCTCTTTGAAATCGTGGACTTTTCCAGGTGTTTTCCTGCTTTTCTGACAATCCATGGCAATTTCTTTCTCCTGCTGATGGAATCTGTGTCATCACAGGCTGCTCCCATATGCAGACAGATCTTGCCCAGGAAAAAAAAAAAAAAAGAAAAAAACCAAAAAACCCCAAAAAACACCAAAAACACACACAAAAAAAGCAAAGCAAATGTTGAGGGGTGTTTTTTTTTTAAAGAATAAGGCCATGATTCAGGTGATTCCATGATCCAAAGGGTTCTTTTCCTTAGGGTCCCCCACAGGGACCCCCAGACCTGTGTCAGTCTCATCCCTGCCTACTCCAAAGCCTGGATCCCATCTCCAAACACCCCATTATTCCCATCAAAAAACAGCACAAAACCTCTGGAACTTTGGGATTTTCCTCCAGCAGAATCCACCAGGTTCATTCCTGACTTTCCACCTGGCAGTTTTTTTCCTTGGAGATTCCAGAATTCCATATTCTCCTTCTTCCTTTGGTGCATTTTGGAGGGATTTTTTTTATTTTTTTGGGGGAAAAAAGGCAGAAGCCATGGGAATTTTGGATGATTGATGATGATGAGTTTTCTTTGCAGTGATGGAGAGGGAGCAGCATCTCCTGGAGATGATCCTCAACAATTTTTCCATCCCAGCACATTCCCATTCCACATCCCACAATCTGCTCTCCCTCACCCCATCCATACCCTTGAGGATTCCAAAAGAATAATTTTAAAATATCTTCGATTTTTACACCTCTCTCATCTTATTTTTTACCAAGCAAGAACTTTAAATCTTCCATTTTACCCCCATAGCAAGGTGCTTCCCAGAAATGCCTTGGAAGATCCCAAAATTCAGTTTTTTTCCATTTATGCCACAGATTCCTTTGTTTTGCTGGATTTAGCCTCAAAATTATAAACAGCTCCTCGAGGCCAGGTTGGACAGGCTTGGAGCAACCTGGGAGAGTGGGAGGGGTCCCTGCCCTTGGGAATGGGATGAGATTTAAAATCCCTTTGAACCCAAACCATCTGGAATTCTGTGAATATTTCTCCAAGCTAAATAATTTATTCCATTTTTATTTATTCCGGCTCTGCCGAGCTTTTAAAGAAGAGATTTCTACAATGTGGGTGTTGATTGTCTTCTCTTAATCAAGATTTTTGTGGATTTTTCCCAGATTAATTCACATTTAGCTTTATTAATTTAATAATTACCTGTTACCTCATGGATGAAGAAAATACAGGACAGAGCAGGAATTAAATCTTAGGAAATTTTGCTCTGCTTTTTCTCTTGGTTATCCCTCAGTGCAGCTAAAACACAGCCAGCAATTTGCTTTTCAAAATATCATATCAAATAGAAATAATTTTATTTTATATCCATCTTTTTTTTTTTTTTTTTTTTTAAAACATTCTCTGTTTTCATGGCACAACAAGCTCTCAGGGTGGAATTCAGGGAATTAAATAAGATGGCACAATCCACTTGAGATTTTTTCCAAGCCTGGTGAGTAATAACAGAGCTCTTGAATTCCTGGAAGCTGCAAAATTTCATGGAGGCGAATGGAAATGATGAAATTATTGTGCTGGGATTTGTTTTATGATCATGGAGCCAAAAAAAAAAAAAAGAGGGAAGAATTCAATGGAATGGTGCTTGAGAAAGATGGAATTCTGGAGAGTGTT